GTGGACTAACTCACTATGAGTAGGCAATGTCACAGTGTGTAAGAATGAGATCCTCTGGGAGTAGCAAAGTTTGACTCTCCTCCTGCGTGAATATGATCTCCCTAATGATCTCCCTAATGACTTATTCTGGTTCGCTCCATCAGGTTCAGTGATGACTAGATGATGTATCTAATGCCGGGCAGATGTTGACGCTCCGGTTGAGTTTTGTTTCAAGGGTTTGCCGCGCAAGGAATTCATCGACTTGAACATTTTATTTTATTTTATTTTAGAGACATTTTTTTTTCTTACTGTAAATAAGGGTTATCTAGTCCCAAGATCAGGCTACACACGTGACTATTATATATAGTTTTTAAAATATAATTTACGGCCTATACCTGAACCTTTAATACTATAAAAACTCAAACATTTACACATTTAGCCTAGGCACAGGCATTAACATCTTATCGAAAACTCTAATAAGGCCGGCTATAGCCCTGAAAGGGGACGCTTATTACTACTAACTACAACCACTTTCCCACACAGCAGCAATAATAGCAATAACAACAGCAATAATAATAATAACAAGATATCATTATCTAACACCCACATCCCTACCAGCAAGGGCTCGGTTATTAAAGTAGATAACGAGCTCCTGGAAGATATGCTGGTTTTAATCATGAATAACCCGAGAGAGCTGTACCTAACGCATATAAAATCCTTAAGCCTGCGTTTAATCAGAGGGCTTCTCGCGGCAATGAAGCCGCTAACAACAGAGCAAATCCGGCAGCTGCATCTGCTGGGTTTGTTATTTCAGAGACATAAGTGAGTTGAGAAAGAGGAAAAAGGCTGGATCAACCCGGATAGCTAGAAGGAAACAGCTTTGGGGCCACATGTGACTTAGCCACGTGACATAGGTGTAAAGTTAGTAGACACAAATATTACTACAGGATAGGTATGCCGAGCTCGCCGCAATGATTGTCGAGGGCACAATACGAACTCACGGCTCATTGGCTGAAATGGGATATATCGCTTATAATGGCTAGATAGGCTATGTAGGATTTCCGATTTAACGATTGAACGATGACGACTTAGGACGGTCGCCGATATCACAGACATTGTGGATTTCGAGCGCGAGTAATCGCGAAATACCTTGGTGTTCATTACAAGATATCTCGCTAAATGTTTCTTTGCTCAAGAAACTACACTTGAAGCGTGATAAGCCTTACTAGCTAAATGATGAGCAGTTCGGCCGATCTGAAGGAACAGGAATGTCTCATGCTTGAGGCTTTTAAGTTTGACTTGAGAAAATACCGTTACTGGGATAATATCTATGTTATATATCGACTTTCTTCGTTTGGAAATGAGCTCGAGGATTGCTGTAGAGGAATTTTAAATACAGATTCCGGAGAGAATTATTTGAGTAGTCTCTCTCTATCTTAACAGAGGAGAAATTTGTTGATGTTAGGATGAATCTTTGGATGATATTCCACATTGCTATGTATGTTGTCTTAAGTAATCAAGACCACCTCTCCTGTCAGTCTATTGAATTATCTGATGCCACACCAACTATCTGCTTCTTCTTATTAACTCTAAGGCGTTCGGAAGAAAAGAGAGCTTGGTATATCGGGATGTTTAGCGTATGTGCTCTTTGATTAGCCCCCGTAGTGCATATGTCGAGGTTCCAAACAACGCACTTGGATTTAAAAAGCTTCATTTACTCAACTCTATGGATATATCGCACTATTCCCTAATTGGCGAATCAATCTCCGTATCTCAGTGCCGACGTTGATGTATTTATATGGCCTAAGTTATTAAAATTAGGGGGAGAGGAGGTGACTTATGGAAACTAAATATATATGGCGAGCCACAATGATACTAAATAGTGCGTCAAGAGACCACGGGTCGCTTGACGAGGATAGTTGAATATGCTGATATGGATCATTAGATTCTATTGTTTGAGACAAACCAAATCGAGGATTGCTCGGAGTTTCCCCCTCGTTGCAAAAGCCCCTCAAGAAGTAGGGGACTTTGGAAATCAATGCTGTACGGCCATGGAGCCGGAGTCATGTTCTCCTATATCCGTCAGGGCCTTCCGTTCCGGAATGCGTTATGGTGGCAATATCTTATAATTTCATGAAAGTTGAAACAGCGCCTTGCGGCGCAACAGCGTCCAGCTCCTCGCCACATCTGCGGCGATCAGCAAAGGCGGGTCCTCTTGTCAGCGGAGCATTGTTCATATACGCTGAGCTTCCATCCTCGGCAATGATTAACTTCTGAAGTCAGATTCTCTGGGACTAAGGTCCCTCCTAAGGATGCAATGCAATGTTGCAATAAAAAAGTCGAAACGAATGCAGAAAGTCGACTGTCATTTATATTATGCATGTGAGGGGGGGAGGTGAGGCCTATATAAGGTGATCTTATCTTCAATTCAATGTGCTTGTTCCAGGTGTATGCACTCTTGCACTCTCTTTGACTGAGAATTCATTCCTTCCGTCCCCTTTGATTGCATATCTTCACTCTTTCAACTTGAAAAATAGTTAAGATGCATGTCCTTTCTTTGCTCTCGATGGCCACACTGGCTCTAGCAGCTCCTAATATGATTAGGAAGCGAGCTGAGCCTGCACCGCTCTTCAAAGCTTTGGATCACAACCCTAGTGCCAAGGTTATTCCCGGAAGGTATCTCGTGAGGCTGAGTGAAACGACTGAGGCACCTAGTATTGCACAAACACACAATGCTATTCATACATATAGCTCAAAAGGGCTCAAGGGTTTCGCCGCTGAGCTTGATGATGATGCTCTCGAGGCTGTTAGAAATAGTCCTGATGTAAGTCGCGAAAATTAATTCTGCCTTGTTAGAGTTCTCTATGTTAACTTGATGGTAAGGTTGAATATGTTGAGCAAGACCAAGTGATCAACTTGTACGACTACATCTCTCAGGAAGATGCACCATGGGGTCTTACAAGGATCTCACACCAGGCTCTTGGCTCTACGGATTATGTATACGACAGTTCTGCCGGGGAGGGCACCTGTGTCTATATTATTGACACAGGTATCAAGATCGATCATGAAGAATTCGAAGGCCGTGCCGAGTGGCTGCAGAACTTCACCGACGACGGCAAGGACGAAGATTCCCTGGGACACGGAACATGGGTCTCTGGTCTGGTTGCCTCGCGCTCATATGGCGTCGCCAAGAAATCCAAGGTCTTTGCTCTCAAGGTCTTCGCCGAAGATGGCTCGGCTACTGGAGCGGGCATTATCGCCGCCATGGACTTTGTAGTCAGTGATTCCGCTAAGCGAGATGGCTGTCCGAAGGGCTATGTAGCGAACATGTCTCTCGGTGGCGGCTTCAGTCAGACAAGCAACGATGCAACTGACGCCATGGTCAATGCCGGCGTCTTTGTTGCTGTGGCAGCCGGAAACGACAATGTGGATGCTGCGGGCACATCGCCAGCTTCTGCTCCGTTGGCTTGCACAGTCGCCGCGTCAGACTCGAACGACGTCAAGGCTTCTTTCTCTAGCTATGGAGGCGTTATTGATGTGTGGGCCCCAGGTGTTGGCCTTGAGTCCACCTCATACCAGGGAGGTTCGGTAAGTTGAATTCCGCTTACAACCCAAGGTGCTGTGCGCTTCCAAGAACTGACTCAAGTTTTCTAGACCTCCGCGTCTGGAACATCCGGGTCCAGCCCTATAGTTGCTGGTTTGGGAGCGTATCTCATGGCTTTTGAAGGCCTAAGTGGTGGAGAGGGGGTCTGCGATCGGATCAAGGAACTTTCGGTCCAGGGGGTGCTCAGTGGTGTTCCAGAAGGCACAGTAAACCAGCTTGCTTTCAATGGTGCCTCATCCTAGATATGATTCTACAGAATAAGCAGGTGGCAATAACAATTGCTAAGAGAGTTGATCCTAAACTAGCCCTGGAGATATTGCGGGTTTCATGTGCCACTCCCGAATTGGAAACGGGGGCAAATAATCAGGGATCAGGTTGACAGTCAGCGAGTAGTCCGTAGCCAGGACAACAATGAATTAAAGCAAATATCGCTCGAATCAAGCCCTAAATTGGCTAGACTAAGAAGAAACTACCAAAAGCGTCACTCTGTAGGCATTCCCGGTCTCTCCCGTTTCATTGACATGGGGCACTGGCGAGGGCCACCGTAACCTTCTTCTCTTGGCAGGACAAAAATATGAAATAAGCTGACATGACAGCCCTGTCTCAGCCATTCAGCTGCTAGTGACGAGGAAAACGACAATATTTAGGGCTGGACAAATCTCCCCCACCCCAAAAATCTCCAATTTAGTGAACGGGCAGACCAAATTGGCGGTGGCCTGCCTCTAAAACTTGGGTTACGGACGCTCTCTGTAGCTATAGCTATAGCTCCTCACCTAAAGTAGGTAGTCCTAGACGATAGTGTGAAGGGTCTGGCACTGTAAAGCTTCCAAAATTGTTATCTAGGTTTTAGCCGATTGAAGAATCAGCTTGAAACTCGGCAATAAACAGTCTCAGCGGTGTATGAGTGGGAGGAATTAATGGGGCAGCGCAAGGAGCTAGACAGGCTTCGCAAGTTCACAACAGTTTGGGCAGTTTCAGGGATGACGCTATCCACTCTGAACCATCCAGTTGGCTGGCCTGGGTCATCACATGAATGGGCAAACGAACAAACGAGCTGGTTGGGCAGGCCTTGCCCTCGGGTACTTCACGCGTTCGAGCCGCGTTGATAATTATATTTCGTTGGAGGGACAATCACCGTTTTCGCCAAGTGTTGCAGCAGTAAGAAATGCGGTAAGATCTGGGTAAACACAAACTACTGAGAGTTTCCATAACAGTGTTGTAGCAACTGGTCCGGGTACTGACTCCGGACTGGGGGTTTGTTTGTTTGCTCATCCATGCAAGTCTTGGCACCGAACCCCTTCCTCACGCATTGTTTACTATTATAACATCTCGAGTTCTCATACTTCCATTTACTTGACACACCAACAAAATAATATGCATTCCTTGGGCTTTGAAGTGCCTCAATTAGCTAATCAACATGGCTCGTGCGAGCATCGAGCTTCCTCTAATGACGCATAACGGCCGTCCTGATACATTACAAACAGCCCCCAAAGACAATCGAGACATCAAAAAAGCCGGCGCAGATTGGAGAGATGCAGAACTTCAACCCCCACATACCGAGCCAGGCCCTGGTGCAGCGACGGAAACCAAGATGGCGAGAGAAACAACGCCGTTGACCACTGATGCTATATTCTCAGATCGGGCACAGAAGAGCCAAACGAATGGAAGAAAATGGCGCCCATTTTGGCTACATTCCCGTATCCTCTTGCTCTTTCTCGCTTTCTTCATTGGTTGCATGATCGCTTTGCCGGTCCTGTTGTCGTACTCTTCCATACACAATGGTATCGCAGAAGTGCGACAAGGTTTCGAAAAGCCATGGAGATTTATCTCAATTGCTGGTTCGTCCTCCCTCGCAATGTAATCTTGAAACATCGCAGTATCTCATAAGGTTTATAGTGCTCACACTAGTTGCTATATTTTGGAACCGGGTTGAATTACAGGTTTTGCGCTACGCTCCTTGGATTTCGGTACAGCCTAACCAACCAGTCGATCGTGCAATGCTAGACCTGGATTATGTTTCGATGATGCCGCCCGTGGCACTTTTTCAGTCTTTGAAGAACAAGCATTTCTTGGTATTCACTGCTGTCCTTACATCCATCATCTGTAAGGCTCAGATCGTTCTGTCTCCCAGTTTGTTTTATTCCGAAACTACGAGGTTCACGTATCCTACTGAAATCCAACTGTTGGATACTTTCGACACTTCCTTCGATGTACAGAAGGACATACGAGAAGGGACCGGCAATACTGCTGAGAAAACAGGTCCCTATTATAACTCACGAGCCGTCCGAAAGTTCGACCTAGAGCTTCCGTTCGGAGTCTCCCAAGACGCTGCCTATCAAACTTTCAGCTCAGGAGCAGACGGAACAGACACACGAGGCACGACCCAGGCTCCTGTGACGACGACAGTTGATGCGCTGTTTATGGATATTGAATGTCTCAAGCTAGAGAGCTACTCAGCTCGTCGAAATCGCACGGAGGAGGGTATCTTTTACGCCAACCTCGAGTTGAAATTCGAACAATGCGAGCAGCCTTTGTCAGTTTCGTCATTGTTTTTCTACATACAGAACCCCAACGCCACTACGCTTGTTCCGCCAAACTTCTGGGCCATTGAAACATTGAGTGAAAAACATTGTTCAATACTTCCGACACAATTCTCGCCCTTCATTTATTACGGGGCGCTACCTAAGGGTAATATAACAGAAGATACCTCGGCCATTGAGATGGAAGCATTCGGGGCCCTCATGTGCGCGCCCAAGTCGTGGATATCCCCGGTTCGAGTCACGGATGACGGCGTCAGGCCCATAATGTCATCGTGGGAGGGTGTCGAGCAAAGAACCCCTTTCAATGTAAGTCTCTGGGACATCATACCGGGCTCATTATCGAACGATATGGGACATTGGTTTCCCAACCAGGCCCGAGGCAGCAGCGGTGCTATCGGGCCTGTCAACGTCGAGTCCCGCTTATGGGGCAGGACTCCCGAGGCCAATGACACCTCGCTTTATCAAACCAGCGTCTTATATGAAGCAACCAGGAACATGACCAAGTATTTTGGGCCCATGGCTGCCCATTATAGACTGAAGTTGGCCAGCGATTCAGCCCACGCGTACGGTTCCACCAGTGTCGCAAGACTAAGGCTGAAGGCCAACCGCGGGGTGTGCATTGCGATGACAGTGCTATTTTCCTTGTCTGCAACAGTCGCATTGTGGTCATTCATTTCCCTGCGCATGAGTTTGAAGCCTTGGCATAGAGATCCCGCAACAATACTGGGATCCATGATCTTCTTCGACAGGCAAAACGTTGACCAAGCCCCGTCGATGGAATCGTTGCTGGATAAACCGGCATCCACTGTCCCCGAACAGAGCGACTCAACTTATACAATGCTACCTCTTCGAACGTGGGTTCGCTCGATGTATCTTGTTTATGTTATGGGGCTTATAATTGCGCTTGCTATTACTCTCCATATATCGCAGGAATCCATCGGGTTGACAACAATAGAGAAAGGGACATCCCCTCTTTGGTGGGCGTCGCTCCCTGCACTCGCCATGGCCATTGTCAGTTTGTATGCCACTTCTTGCGATACAGCTGTGCGCGATATCGCTATTCTATCTAAACTATCTTCAACGCCCTGCAACGCCATGGAGATTGACATGTCATTGTTGGATATGCTGGGCTTCACGGCCCTCTACTACTCGCTTCGGCTCAAACTATATACTGTCACTGTCACACAACTTATTGCCATTGTCTGTGGAGTGCTGGTATCTCTGTCGGGAATTCTCTACAGTTCGCAGCATTCCCCGAATAGCACTGCCACCATTTTCAAACAAACTAGCTGGTTTGGCTATCGAACGCCACTAGTTGATCCTGTCGAGACATATATGGACCTTCAGCCCAACGAATATGAGGTCACCCGGAACGATTTGAGCAGCCTGGTGCTCGCTCAGAACACTTCCACGATCAAGTACCCTCAATGGACCTATCGTGATCTCGTATTCCCTTCCTTTGCGATGGATGAAGCGGTTCCAGCTTGGGATAGCGGCACGTCCGTCAGGGTAAATATGCCAGCCGCTAGGTTGACACCCGATTGCATCCGTTTAAACAGTACAGCGGTTGAGAAAACCATGACATGTCCAAACGGAACAGAGGTTTCGTATAATCTGACAAGTCTCTCCTGGAGTACTGGATATTATGCATCCATGGTGTCTGGTGAGCGAACACCAGGCGTCATTCGGCTGGCCTGCGACCTCGAAGCGGAAGAGTTGGATGATCGTACTTGGACTTACCTAGATCAGACTTACTCTTGGGGAAGGAACTCCAAATCAGGTGCCAACCATTCCGCCGAGTGGAGTTGTAACTATACCTGGGCTGAGGTGCCTACTGACGTTACATTTCGCTGGGTAGATGGAAAGGCCCAAATTGACTATGACAACCCTCCAACTCCGGCCTACGACCAGAGCAAGCCATATGATCCTCCATTTAGCATTCCCATCTTCTCGCAGGCTTACACGGCTGTCTATGGCGCTGTATTTCCACAATTCAACCTACCAAATTCAGACGCATTACAAGTTGGATACGAATTCGCCTACCTAGTAGAGCCCTTCGGGTCCATCAAGCTAGAAGATCTAGCTGACCCGAACCAAGAGGAAAAGATTCTTGAAGCCCTACACTTCAGCCGAGCGCAGATAGCAGCTCAGCTAGCGAACCTGGAGCACCGACTGGGTCTCAACGAGACTTCAGGAGCCCAGCCTGCGCAACATGGGCAGCTGCCTTTTATCGATGGGATTGTTACAGAGGGCAACAGGTATCGGCTGATCCAGAGTTTCGAAATAACCATGGCCCTCATAGTTTTGCTGTCAATCTTCTTTGTCGTCAATCTATGGGCACTAATATCTGCGGCGTTGATGTATTTCCTAGCCAGCAAGTTCCCTCTCCTCCTTGATCTGGAGCTGAAGGGCAAAGGACACCATGGTTTAAACAGTATCAGGATGACTGATTCTCTCCTTTCCGAGTCGAATTACTCTGATTATCTCCCCAAAAATGCAGCCTTATTGTCGCTGAGGGAATTGTATCATCAGCTAGCAGGAGTTTCGTTTAGGATGGGCCGGTTTTGGAGAAAGGATACGAAGACGGCTGTATATACGGTTGGTGTATTGGACAACAGTAACCTACAGCCATTGGATAATTGAGGAGAATACTGGGAAAGGCTGTGGGAAACCACTTTGGGGGCGATGGACAGATATCTCAATAATGGCATGTAGATGCCGGCCGATCAAAGAAGATAACTTTCAGAGTCCATTTAATGAGAATTTGATTTATGCATTCATATAATACGTTTCATGATCCATACTAAAAGAATATAAGGCCCAAGGCCCCAAGAATCCATTGAATTAGAGTTGAATATCCAATATTAACCAACTCATTTAGAATGAGAATTGCTGGGATTTAGAACTGACAAGCGCAGACTAGAAAATCAAGGTCTAATGCATTCCTTCCAATGTCGCATCAAGTGAAGTGACTGTCAGAAACACTTGGATCACAAACTCATCTTGGCAGAATAGTTGTTGCAGAGTCACATAGTAATGCTTCCAACAAAAATAAACAATACTGTCTAACAATAATGCTCAATCCTCCAACCTTTGGAATTATTATATATCAATATTGGGGCCTATATTGGAAAGTGTGAACAGCAAAGCATCATTGTGGTCTTTGGCACTTGATGGGATAAGATTTGATGTCACATGACGCGATGTTGCTCCTCTAAGGATGAATTACGTAAATACATTTTCCCACTTGCTCATCCACAGACGAATGTGATTCTACTCAATGAGACACACTCCATCGCGAGGTCAACCCGGCGCATTCCCTGTATGGAGAAACTCAGTGTCGAGATAATAAGGCTCGTCATTGACGAGCTGCAACTCAGTCTCCTCGACGGCGAATGTCCAACGCCAGTCTCAAGGTCCAAGCCACATCTTGCACCGTATGCAGCAATATCAAAAACATGGCAGGCATTGGTTGAAGACCGAAATTTTGCATTCCTCCAACTTGGGAGGAGCGAGCTAGAGAAATTTGCCGAAATCATCGCCGCGCAGCCTCACCGGCAGACATATCTTCGTCGCATTCACCTGATTCTCCCAGAGCCCAATGGCGAATCTTTCCAATCCGGGATCCGCTTTCTATCCCAATTGCTAGACGAATGGGATCAGAATGTCGTCGATGATCTCCTTCCGCAGCTCAAGGTTTCAATAACTGGCTGGGGCGAGGCGCGGTTCGACGAGGCCAGTCTATCGCAGATACCTCTCATGCGGCGGGTTACTTCTTTCTTTAGCCACTCGGGGATGCGCCATGGGACGATTTACCCTGATGTAGCGCTCCAAATTGCGAGTCGCATGCCTCGTCTTGAGACGCTGGCCGTGCAATTCCAAGAACCGAGTCGGCCGCTTGAGCACCGGCGCCTTGCTCGGTTTCAATATCGGCGTCAATTGGGCGAGGCCCTGCTTCAGCTGCAGCAGAGAGACTGCCTCTCGAGACTGAAGCATCTCGGGCTCAACCGATTCGGCTATGGTCCTCTAAATCATAGCTTTGAGCTCGAGAATGTCTTGGACGAGGAAGGCGTTGATCGGCTTTGTGAGGCGGTCCGCATATTCGCACAGAGGTCAACGTCCCTGGAGAAGCTGGTCTTGATCAATATCCTAATATCGCCTGACCTTTTTCGAAATACCCGAAGACTTGGTATCGCCGAGGAGCCTTCATGGCCAACGGTCCAGCACCTTTTTATCAAGAGCAACATTCTGACACCTAGCGGCGAGTGGTTGTACACGGGATCACCCGATTCCATTCAGCCGAGGTGGGTTCGCTATCGCCAAAATAGCGTTGTTGATTTCGACGAGTACAGCGAGGTGGATGATTCGGATGATGGCGTGGAGGACTTCCTCACGGCTACTGATATGAACCCCCATCATCTTTGGCGAACGCAGCCAGATCCGCAAGTTCTCGAACCGCTCTTGCTTGAATTGATTGGGGCGATGGATCGGATGCCAAAATTACGAGCTGGTCTCTTCCATCTCGCGCCGAATCGCAATGCCTTCCAAGGACTCATGTTCCAATGGGCTCAGCCAGGAGTGAAGTATATGGCAGAGAAGGAAAGCAAGACCAATGACACCCCTGAGAATTGCCGTAGATGCAAATTCACAATTGGAAATTTCACAGACTGGGAACCGTCAAAGAGGATCATGACAAATCTTCAGCAATGGGTTGGAGATGGCAGTGTGGATTTTGATCCATCCACGACAGTGATGACTTCATACCGTAGTATAATATAGAGCTTGGAATTAGGCCCATAGCTTTAGATCTATAGAAACAAAAGTCTTCGTAACCTGTCAAATGCTAGAGAGCCCTTGAGGCTAGTCTTTCATTGCTTGGAGAGTGTAAGTGTGTGGCAATCTCCAAGGTCGATCCTTCAGTCTGAATTCTCCTATGGCATGAATTAATGGAAACATTCTTGCATCAGTCGTAAGGCAGGTAATACACGTACCCTTTCCTATTTCTTCCATCTGCCCAGGTATAGCATTCCAAGGCACGCTTTGATGCTCTATCAGCCCAGTAATACGAAGTCCCTCAGAAAGCAGCGCCTGTATGATTTCTCCTAAGCCATGGTTAAATGAGGCCGTCTTCGTCTCTTTGAGCTTTTGGCCGCCAGTCCCGACATAAGTGAACTCGTCATCAAATACGGTAGGCTCCTCAAGCTCAAAATATGGGTAGTCAATAGATATGCCCGCTTTCTGCTCGTCCACTGCCCATAGGATCGGATGGCCCTCGCGGATAAACAACTGCCCTCCCGGCTTCAATAAACCTGACACGACCTTTGCCCATTGCTTTACGCTTGGTATCCAGCATAGCGCTCCGATGCCAGTATAGACGAGGTCATATGTGCCTGGTTGCAGAACCTTGAGGCTGTCATACACGGAGGCTTCCACAAACGTGAGCTTTTCGCCGCCAGTTCCCAAGGTAGATTCTGCAAGAGTTCTAGCCTCCTTGAGTGAAGCGCCTGAGAAATCAAGGCCGGTGACTGATGGGGCACCGAGTCTCGCAAGACTTAGGGTGTCTGTGCCGATGTGGCATTGAAGATGAACGCAGTTGAGTTTTGACATGTCACCAAGAAGTGCCTGGTCGAATTGGACAACTTCACTGATATAGCTCGGCGAATTGATTAAATCTTGGACATTGTAGTCCGGTGAGGCCGCATGCTATCGTAAGAAGCGCAGTTTGTCAATCAATGGCTGTTTAATTTAAGACAGGATCGCACTTACAAGAGGAGCACGCTCGTCCCAGTTGCGCTTGTTGATAGTCTCGTAATCCATATCAAGGACCGGTCACACTGGGATTCACTTTCTCCTTTCTGAATATGACGAGTTGATGATCTATGGACAGGAGTAGTCCAATAAATCCCAGAGAGTCCCGGGTCATTTCTTTTCATGGTATATATAGTATTTTCAGCTAGTCTAGAATGTCTGAACCGACCGATTATCGTCTCCACGTCGAACACTGTCAACCAGTCCAACGCAATATTAGAACCCCGCACCAATGCAGCTCCTTTCCCACGGTGTGACTCAGCCTCGGTGCTCCTCGGCGAGACGTATTGGGAAATTCCACCCAATCGATGTTTACGGATCCAACCGGAAGAACCAGATGGTTTTATTTAGAAGCTTCCCAGCATTCGTACGATCTTAATAGAGTCGAAGCCACCTGAGAGAGGACTCGGGCTCTTGTTTAGTGTGTATCTTAAGGTGCAGACCTTCGAATTTCTTACCATCACCAATATCATGTTATTACTTATGGCCAAGAACTGAAGTACCTGTTAGTTTGAAGGCCGTATCAAGTTTCTGGAATGAGCCGTCAACTGGCGAGTGCATTTCATATCATTTGAAGTAAGTCATTTTATCCACGTGGCAATCAATTTCAATTCGACATAGCTAGACTTAAATTCAAAAGAGCGTGATCATTATCCTCATTCGTGTTCTGTCCCTCGGTGCACCTCAATCAAATCACTCCAGATCTCGTCCCACAACATCTTGATTAGTCGTCCTTCGTCTCCTCCTTCACTCCCTTCATTCTCTCATAGGCCTTGGGCTCTTTGTCCACTTAGTGCTTGCCAAAGAGACCAGGGATGCTGGGAAGAATGAAGCCCAAGCCGAGCGATCTGAGAAGGGTGGTGATGTAGCTGGTGAGGGAGTTGGTAACATTGGTCAAGCCGGTGACGGTGACGCCAACTCTGGCGGAGAATGCCTGGACAGCACGAGAAAAGTTGACGACGGGAGCGACGAAGGGGTTCAGGGCGGCCCGGATGGCGTTGATCTCACTCTGGGCAAAGGTGCGGAGCGGTGTGGTGAGATCGGTGGCCTCAGCAGTGACGATGACATTAAGCTGGGCGATGGCGTCGAGGGTATTCTGGACAGCCCGAGCAAGATCGGTGACCTGCTGCTGGGTCAGGCCAGTAGCGGCACCAATGATTCCACCGGCGCCTCCGGTAGTGGCAACGACGATGGTGTTGGTGGAGGTCTGGAGGGCTGCGATGATGGCGTTGAGGTTGGCGCGGACGGTTGCCTGCACTTGAGCATCAACGTTGCCAGTGACGCCGTTGAGGGCAGCACCTATTGTGGAGTGAAGAGAGTCAGATGCGTCTTTATATGTTAATCATTTAGCAGGGACCTCAGCTTACGGATTGCAGCAACGTTGGTGTTGACAGTGTTCAGAACAGTCTGTGCGGACTGGACCACAACGCCAGTTGCAGTCTGCTGCCTGACCTCAACTGCTGGTGCAGCAAAGGCGAAGGAAGCGAACATGAGGACGTTGGAGAACTTCATTTTGTTGAGGTTTGAGTGGTGATGCTCGGGAAAAGTTTTGAGTGGTGATTCTGTTGGATTGTGATTGCTGTGTCTGATGCTTTCTTCCAACACTAAAAGACAGGAGGAAGCTGGACCAATTTATAGAACTCATGATACCATCGTGAGGGGTTATCCAGACCACTTGCCCGATCATCCATCTCGATCAAACCCAAGGTCTCGGCGGTGTAAACTCTCCGCACCCATCGAAGACATCCAAGAGAGGCTTGGTGAGAATCATCTAGACAACATCCTTTTGGTCCAAATAGGAGCGGGGCTGCATATCACCAGTCGCATGTCTTAGCCACGTTCCCCACGCAGTATTACTCCAAAGCCACGATAGGTAAGAATGGGGCATTCCAGACCCGGGTCGGGCGCACATAAGAATCCTCTCCTCAGAAAAGTGCATTCTTATGACCGCAGGTCGGATGAGGAATTTGCGGCGGAGCAGGAGATCTAGCCAAGAGCAACCGCGTGGGAGATGGCGATAGTCTGACACAGCCTTCCGCAATGTCTCAGCTCAGCCGTGGCCTGATATCGAGCCAGTGAGAGTCCAAGAGATCCCACAGCCTCAGCGAGATGCGGGATGGGACGTAGCTTAACGGGACTTCGAGGGCAGCTCGATCTTCAGGGCCCCTTTCCGTCGTCGGATGTGGGCAGCCAATGGTTGACTGGCAGAGGCTTGTGATCGGCTTTCTATCTGCCCGCTTGACGTGAAACATGGCAAAAACCGTGTCTTGGCGTGAGGTAATGAAAAGGATCAATCAATAATAACATGCAGAGTGACCGAAAGAGGAATGGAGGCGGGTTTTCATCCCGCTGGTGATGTTGGCCACGAGGATAGCTGGCTGCTTCCAAGCAATTTAGCAGGCCTTTTTCGTGTGGTAGACCTCTTTTAGTATCTGCGAGCCGCCGAAAGAGGAATTTCACGCAACCTCATGATACAAGTTATTACTATTCGGCTGCTAAAACACCATGACAAGCCACTTGGATCATGGATGCCTATTCACCCACCCACTGAAGGCTGCAGCCCCTTCTACTCACCTGACATATCATTTTGGCCTAAACCTCTGACAGAAGCTATTCCCTCCGTTGCTCGGGGCCGGGCAGATCCCGTATCCGTGGCCTACTCGGCTCGTCCCTTGCGCAAACAACTCTCCAGAACGGTAGCAAGGGGTAAATTCCCTACTCTTTAGGAATAAGATCGTCCGCGATCGTTGAAATCCTGGAACTTGTCTATGATGAGCATCCCTACAGTCAATGGAGTGAAACTACGGGTAACATGAATCGCTGCAGGCTACAGAACTCTCTCGTGAGTCTACGAAGAGTCGGTGTCACAGACAAGCCATCAGATACATGCAAATTGCGCGATTTGTCTAATATTGGTGCCATGTATGTCCAGGCCCGGTGAAGAAAGGAGCGTGTCGCCATTGTTAGGCTACGACGTGTCACTTGGAGTCGGTCTAGATCGCATCTTTGGCATGGGTCGGCCGTCCAACTTCGAGTCATCTTATCAGATGGTTGTCAGCCTGTTAATCTACTTTCCCAAACGGTGTATCGTTGCAGAAGCCTCCATCTCTCTAGATCCGTCTAGACACGTCTAGAGCCCTTCATTGTAGTATAAGGGTGTGGTACGAACCCGGGTGCTGATACAAAGCGGTGTCACCGCCTACATGTAGGGGAGTTACCGAATAGATTGTCGGTCCAGAAGAATGCAAGTCTCACTTAAGTGGCGTCCACCTCGGGCAGGTATCACACGGCGAGGTCTCGATCCAGTGCCATGTGCTTCTCTACCCAATTCCCACTGGGCAAAAACACTTGAAGGTGAATGAAGATCCCGAGGGATAGGACTCGAGACAATGCAAGAAGAAGCAGAAATAGATCAACCAAGATGATATCATGCGGGCATGAGGGAAGGAGAAACGCGGATCAACTGGTACGGAGAATATATTGAGACCTTATTAGCCTCCTTTGGTTCAAAAGCTGGTACTATCGATGTCCAGCTAAGATGGTACTTTGAGTCTTTGTATGTACCTCCAAGATGATGGGTAATTCCTGAAAGCAGCAACATCCAAGCAAGGAGGTCAGTACTCTCCAGTCCTTCATATCCTTTACATGAGATCTCCAGAGGTTGAGCAAGGCATGTTGGTCGTTCAATATGCAGTCTATTTCAGAAAGTACACAAATATTATGTAGATGTAAAAATGTGAGGGCATTCCAAGTCCTGGCTGGCGCGTGAAACATGGCTTTTACAGGTTCAGGAGCCTGCAAGCTTGGCCTCCAAACACCCGAGACCGGAGAGACAAAGAGGCAGCCCATCCCAGGATGACGGGCAATCTTGTCCCCGTTCAGCTCTCATGTCTCGACGAAAGGCGGCGCAGAATACGCCACGGCTTCCCAGGCAGCCCCGAGCGCCATGAGCAATACCGGAGCCCGATGATGTGATCTATTTTGGCTGCACTGTCATCATCTAATGCCATAGCCTGAGCAAGGGCTCGACAGACGAATGTGTGATTTTTGGTGGCCGTGTATTATTCCATATCCGTGTCTATAGTCTATTCAAATCCCAATACGTTCCAGTAGACGCTCATACCAGAGCACCCGGGCCCTCCAGCCTCCAGAAGCTCCAGGCCACGGCGGCCGCAGCCTTGAGACCGGCAGATGTCCAGAGCGCGGGCGCAAGCGAGCCACTGCCCTTGTAGCACCATCCACCGACGATGGCTCCGACGAGGAAAGCGACGACGGCGCCCATGCGCCTGTTCCGCTTGAGGTTCTTGGACGGCGTCGCGGTCAGCTTCGGGTCGGAGGAGATGTCGTAGTAGACGCTCGTCAGGACGGTGGTGGGGAGCTCGTTGAACCCGCAGCCCCGGCTGGCAGCCATCTGGCCGCCGGCCTGGAAGGCGAGTAGGAACAGGGGCACGAGGGGCAGCAGGAGGGTCTTGGTGGACGAGTTGACTTCGTGGGCGGAGGACACGACGCGGGTCTCGAGGAGGATGGCGGCGACGATGATGCAGAGGGCCTGCACGGCGAAGGAGACGGCGAGGGTCAGGCGCTCGAGGTTGCGGCCCTGGGTGACCTTGGCGAAGATGAAGCTGCCGACGATGAAGGAGAAGATGGAGATGAGGGACTTGAGCCAGCCAAAGGGCTTGTCGACTGGCTGGTTGGACGCGCCGAGTCCCAGAAAGACGGTGTTACCTGGATGTCGCAGTTAGTTAGCAACGTACGGTCGCGGTCGCAGGACCACACATGATCCAGGCCAGGCTCTGCTGGCGAGAGCAAAGCAAAACAATAATATATGCGATAGAGGAGACGGCTTACCAGTCTGCATGCTCACGAAGCATGTCCAGGCGCTGTAGGCGCTGCTGTCGAGCATGCCCGACACAAAGTAGCAGCCAATAAAGACCAGGTCGGCATATCGGAGATCGATCTTTGGCTTGGAAGCCTTCAGTTTCGTAGGGGAGTCCATGCTGGAGAGTGTCTACAGTCCCGATGTTGTGTTGCTTTGGATGTAGATGCGCACGCACAGTCGCAGCCGCCGGGCTGGATATGAGGACCTGCGACAGTCATTTTGACAAATTTTTTCTCCCTCCTCGACCGGTCTAGACGATGACGAATACCGGCGATTGCGAATTATTTGATTCCCGCAGCCAAGCCAAGCTCACAGGGGGGCCACTTGGTCCAAACGCTAGGAAATTAATCAACCGATTTCGGAGTCGGTCCTCGAGCTGATCAGGCCAGTGCTTATCGTGGTGAATGCCTTTCGACGGCTCAATAAATCCATCTAAATGTGTCGCAGGAGCTGGAAGGGGTTCGACCATCATCCAAGGTGCACCATGTGCGTATAGCCTGGGGCCAGCCAGCCAGCCTTGGATGTGCGCAGCAGCCAGAGCAGGCGTCCTCCCTCCCTTTAACTAGGCCTTTGTTTTGCTTTGTCAGACAGTCGGAAGCCCCTGCCGGCTTGGCTGGGCTCAGGTCATCGTTTTAGGGGCATCGTCCGGTCTGGTATCAGGCCAGTCGGTAGGGCCACTCGCTCGAGGCAGTCGTCGTAATATGAAGTCATCCCGATGGTGACATGAGGTGTACGAGTCGAATAAAGTGAAGGAGGGAAAAGTCAGCGGCTGATGGGACGGCTAGCCCGGGTTTTTGCGTGTTGGGGTGGCCTGGCAGCACAGGCTTTCTCCGCACCAGGGTAGCAATGAGTGAGTCCAAGGCACGGCACGGCACGCGCAGGCGGCAGGCAGAAATCAGGGGCTTGACGTCAAGTTTTGCCTTGTTATGCCGGGCTAGCTCTTCCTGGGAGAGCGGATAAATTGAATAAATAATCTGGCTAATGGAAGCAGTGTCCTTGCCTGCATCAACCAAGGAGAGTTGGTTGATGCAGATCATCCAGATCGCAGCGGCAGGACAGGCTGCAAACCGAATAGTAAAGAAAGGGTCATTTCGATAGATGTGAGGTTATTCACCTGCTGGAATATAACAAAAATAATATGACCACCAGTCAAGCTACGCCCCTTCTTCTACACCTCGCAGCCTACCGTGTCCCTGTATAGGGTAGTCATATCGAGACGGTGAGGAACAGGCTTGACTCTGGGGAAAAGCTGGGGTTTTAACTGATCTCGGTTAGACTCGCCGATAACAAGTCAAACAGGCTTTTTTACAACGCGAGAGAATCTGGATTGATTGAGTCTCCATACTTTCTTTCCTTATTGCCCCAATTTCGGCGAGCCCCAGACCAGCAAATCCTCCTCCCCCTCATGCTCTTCTACTTCCCCAGTATTATCACTTCCCCGTCTCGACTTCACCTCATACCATGGTGTGGCTGTGGAGCGGCTAAATCGAATCATGCCGGTTCTTAAGAATCCATGTGTGATATGCAAAGGTGGGCCGCTCTCTGTTCATTCCACCGCCTTGAATAACCAAAGTATCAAATGCTGACCGACTGGCCACGGCGCCTCGGTTCCGGCAGAGAAACACCTGAGGTGCAGCGATGACACGCCGCAATGTAGCCGCTGCCGGAGTAAGGGCCTCGAATGTATTCGCCCGGGGAGGAGGAAGCCCTTTCGGCAAGGCTCTGCCGCCAACTTTGACTACCGCTTTCCTGATTCGCAGACGTGGCTGAGGAGCAACGCACGAGAATGTCAGTTCAACTCTCCCCTGGCCCTACTGATACCTATATCCCTACATACGAATTGCTGTCCTCTCCAATGTACCATTGTGTACACGTCGATGCCTAGGAACCGTGCTCACCTAATCATCCCCAATAGTCCGTCTTTACACGAGCTCTCGAGGGCGTGCCCAGCGGATACCCACCGAGGCCGACCCTCATGTTGAGGATGACGCCCTCGAAGTCCCTGCCGGTGTGCAGGGAGTCTCTGCAGGCACACCATTGGAGGCACCAACAACGCTCTCACCCATCTCGCAGGCCCATGAGGACCCTTCGATTGAATGGGTGGGCATGTCAACCCAAGTGACACCTCCTTCACACCAATCAGATGCCTTCCAGTCACCCATCAGCAGCCTGAACGCACCTGAACCAAATGAGGATCATGGTGGAGCGTTGGGGGCATCGTACAACCAAGTTGGATTGGAGCATATGCCATCACCACACAAAGGTCAGTACCAGCCTTCCCACTCCTCGACACGCAGTCTAGTATAGCTGTCTGCACCGGAGGCTTCTTTCATTGTCTGGCAACCAATAACCATTACCAAACACGTAGACCGCACTCAGGCGAATCAAGAAAAACACCATTTGGCTGAAGCTCGTCAAATCCGAGAGGCATGTCTCCTGGCTTACTATGTTGATGAACTCTCTCACTGGGTAAGCTGTTCTCTGTGATCTGTTCAAGACACTTTCTGATTCACTGACGTATCACCTAGTTCGATATTTGCGACCCTTTACGGAGCTTTGAGATCCTAGTTCCCGAAAGAGCAAAGCACTACCCTCCTCTGCTCAACGCCATATACGCCGTCTCTGCACGTCACATCTGCCGTCTGCGGCAATACAGGACCCCTGATGGGCGTATAATGTATCGTGACCAGCTGCTCCATGACACTCACCCCGGCACAGCAGTCGAGTACATGCTGAAGGCACTCCCTGCCCTGCGCGGATTTCACACGACCTACGACGAGGACACCCGCGGACTCATGGTTGCCACAGCCATCATTCTACGCCAATTTGAGGAGATGGAAGATGACCATGATGATGACGAAGAAGAGGCGAAGCGAGCTGACCCTGACTCCCCTCATACACCCCCTCAAAGGGTCAATTTCCTGTCTATTATCAGCACCGTCCTCAAGAGCTCCAATGCAGAGGAATGGTCGAGCCATTCCAGTCTCTTGAAAGCATCGTATTGGATCGCACTCAGACAAGAGATCTACTACGGCCTCCTGAAGGGCCACCCTCCGGATTTCGTACAGACACCCCAGATTTACGCCAATGCATCTCCCACAAACCGACTGATTATACATGCCAGTCATGTTACGGCATGGCACTTTGACGGTAGATCAGAGCAAGAGTGGTGTAAGTTTTCTCCTCCGCTTTGTCGGCAAACCACGGATGATAAATGAAAGCTGACTTATCAACGCGCTGTAGTGATACTGAAACAACAAGAAGAAACTCTCGAGGAGACGGTGGTGAAGCAATTCGAGCCCATACTATCATTGCCTCCTAAGAAGGAAGATGGCCATGTTTTCCCCATAATATGGTACCACTCCGCCATTGGACTTACTGCAATGCAACACTTTTTGCTTGCAAAGATGATTCTTCTGGCCGAGTCGCCCTTGCTAGTGTGAGCGTTACGCTTCAAGTTTATTCTCGCCCCTTTATTTAGCTATGCTGATTCATGAAATAGACAATCATCCGATGCCAGGTCGGCGTTCAGGGAGGCAGAACTGCGAGTTCGCTCCATCGTGCTGGATATCTGTGGTATCGCGATACAGCACCCGAAGACCCCCCCTGCTCTGGTGAATGCGGCATTGGCGATACATCTGTATGGTCATTTCTTTGTGGATCACTACGAACGGCAGGCACTCAAGGGTGTTATCGGTCGGTTTCGTGATGCGTGTGCTTGGCCAGTGCCAAGGCCACTACAGCAGTTCGAGTGAAGGGTTCCCGGCAGTCTGAATATTATCTCAGCTCAGGTTCCAAAGTATGTAAATTATAGTCTATGGATGAAAAAAAACATGCGAAGCTTGGCGGTAATGCCTAGCTCTACTTTAGAAGACCCTCATAACAGCTCTCGAATGACTGTTCGAGCATCGCGCCCCTGTTCAATACGTGTAACGAAGCCCCTTGCGCTTCAACACACGGTCGTTGCCAAAATAGTACTGCACATTCGCCAACGCCGAAAGAAAAACACCCGCCGCACTGAGAGCCACAATGATAGAGAAGCCTCTTGGATAATGGGGCGCGTCGTCCTCCCGGAACAGTGCTTTGCCAACAATACCCGAACAGTTGGCGGCCATGATATGCAGTGCCATGGTGATGGATCGCTCGCCAGGTGTTCTGGCGTTGAGTGACAGCCAAGAACCATTTACCGCGTCTGTCAGGATACCTTGTTAGCGAATTTGGCATAAAATTTAGATAAAGGGGAGAAGCTTACGCCAAGGCCAGGAGAAAACGATGGAGGTTATCAGGATGGCAAACTTGGTGTGTGCGCTGGTAGAGGTGACGGCGATTTTGTTTCCAATCTATAGAAAACGTCAGAGTAGTTGATGGTGCGAGAGAGAGCTCCGATACGTACGTTGAAGCCCAATCCAAGGATGAATCCGAGAACGACCATAGGACCACGAACACCTAGACGGTCGCTTGATATGTATGGTTAGCTGTCGTATTGACTAAGAAATCTAGGCAGATCAATGGAACGCACCAAGCCCAACCCCAAAGTAGGTTGCAGAAAAGAAGACCCCAGTAACCAATGGATACCATGGCGTTGGATTGAAGACCGCTATACCCGAAGCTTGTGATCAGAGTTGGAGCATATGAGCCCATTACCTGTGGCGGCGCCATGCCAGCAATAGTGAAGCCGATATGGGGGAGAATACGCCAGTTGGTGAACTATATGACAATGGTCAGTCGCCGCCTGTAGCTGAGGTAAAAGTTGTCGTTTTCTTTCCCGGGATTACATACTGTGCTCTTGAAATCCTCCAGTGTGATGTGTGTTCCAACCTGTTTCTTGGAGGGATCGTCACGGATGACTCTGTGATAGAGAATCTGGGCCTCCCGCTCGGTGAAATAGCACAAACCTAGGAGTGACCTGGGGTTTGTGACTTGGTCGGGGAAGAACAGAAGAAATGTGAAACCGATTAAAATGGTGAAGATGCCTTCAAGGATGAAGAGCCACTGCCACCCGCTCAGACCGGCAATTCCTCGCATGCGGAGACTTCACCTTAATGTCAGCTGAGTTTCTACGTGGGCGAGGGAGTGATCAGAGATGTGTTACATTCCAAAGGCAATGATGCCTGTCATCGCTGACGCGACAAGGTTTCCCATGAAGAACCACGAGAAGCGCTTGCTGATTTCGTCTCGCTTATACCACCGGGACATGGTGAACAGACAAGCCGGGATAAAACCAGCTTCGCAGAGTCTGTTGAGAATTAGTTACCGTGATCCAACATAGCTGGTTTGTAGATAGACATACCCGAGAAGCAGTCGAGTGATTACATATACAGTATAGCCCTTCTGGAAAGCTTGAAATGTGGCGACAAGCCCCCTGAAATTCTATTAGTTATTGGAACGAGGTAGGTTGAGAAGCGAGGTGCCTCCCAAGATCCATCCAATTTTAGAGTGCTTACCATGCAATGATTTGACCTCCGATCCACAGTGTAGGCCCAATCCTGTAGAGGATCATGTTACTGGGAATCTGGAGAAGGGCATATGCGTTAAAAAGAGGCATTCTTAGGCAGAGTGAAGGACACCTACTTCGAGAACAATGATGCCCAGGGACAAGAGCTGCTGGCCTGTGTTGAACTGATTTTGCGTGATGCCCACATCTTTGAAGAAGCCATCCGTTAATGCATTACCACTGTCACAATGATTAGTTTCTCCAAGCTCGTTTATATAAAGACAAATAGTTGTGGTAGAGATCCTCACATGTTTCCTCTATCAAGCTGCAGTGCGAAAAATCCAAGAATTAGGATCGGCATAAGTAAGAAGTCAACCCTTTAGAGAGGCGAGTTAGTAAAACAATCCAATCTCCATTATTGTGGGTAGACAAACCTTCGAAGAAGGGTAGCCTCCTCCTCCTCTGTCCAGAAAAGATCATCGTGCTCCTCTTCGTGCTTCCTGTCACTGCCACTTGAAGAGTCTCGGGCCACCTGTTGCTCGCTGATCTCCTTGTCGGCTGCCATTTCAATACAATCAAGCTATACAACCGGACTTCGGCTCGGAAATGCTGAATTTCGCTTGTCGGTCTGCAATCATCGAGCACCGAGTAAAATCATCGGGCCGTCTAGGGTTTTATGCAAAAAGATCTGATAAATGGAACTAACTGACGCGTCCGTGGTCTCACAAACTGATCCGTCCATGCTTCGAAGACCACAAACCCTGTGCGGGTCGGCTGTGCACCGAGCCGACGCAGTTTGGTGGATCATTTCACATCAAATGCCCTCGTGGGCTCGGATGGATTCTTCGGTGACAGTCTGTAGTGTAGTAGAGTGGAATGGCTCTTCCAGCCGAGCTCGATTGCAGCCATCAGTTCGAGCAACGAGGTTGCGATACTCGCTCTCGCCCCACTGCTGTCAGGGGTCTTTGCGTTGACGCTATCAAGCTAATGGATTGCGTGCTCGAAACTGCCTGCGGATTGCGCAATCCTGACCCAATCTTGATCCCCGTTGAATGAAGCTGTCCCTCAATTGACCAATAAAAAGCTTATTTGTGATAGGGTTGCGTTCGTGTAGCTCCGGCATGATGCTAGAATCGGAGTCAGTCCGATATCAATCCACCTCATTTATTATCATGTAGATTCGTATTTGTGTCATGTTAGCTTGGGAAACGGACGTAATATAGCCTGATAATTTCTTCCAGAAAAGCGGAACATCACGGTAGAAATTCGCTTTGATATTGGTATAGTGCGCCTGTCAGAGAAGGAGGTTGGTTATTTTATCATTGATTGGTGACCCAATACTTGCCACGGTTCTGAGGAGAGCACCAGGCTGAAGTAGTCGTATGATCCTGGCGCTCTGATTCTATATTCCCTTCGCAATGAAGATCCGGGCTACTGCGGCTGTTGCCGTTGCTAACTGCTTGGCAGCACAAGTAGTTGCGGCAGGACTGCTGGATGAGCAAATCCCTTTGAGTCGGCCTGGCAATCCCAAGCCCTCGGACCGGCCCAACATCATCTTTGTGCTCACCGATGATCAGGATCTGCACATGGACTCGCTCAATTACCTACCAAAGATTAAAGAGAAACTGATTGACCAAGGGACACTCTACAAACGTCACTACTGTACCACAGCAGTTTGTTGTCCTTCCCGAGCATCCATCTTCACGGGAAAGCTGGCGCATAACACTAATGTTACCGACTTAAACCCTCCATACGGTATGTAGTTGGTTCAAATCTGTTTCATTCTATAATATTAACTCTAGATAGGTGGCTTCCCGATCTTTGTTAAGAATGGCCATAATGAGAACTACCTGCCTCTGTGGCTGCAAGACGCCGGATATAACACTTTTTACACGGGGAAAATGTTCAACGCACACACCGTTTGGAACTATGATAGCCCGCACCTGAAGGGTTGGAACGGATCGGTATTTTCCATTGAACAATACACCTCGTCGAACACCGTCCTGGACTAACACTGACAGGACTTTCTCCTTGATCCCAATACTTACGACTACTGGAATGCGACCTTCCAGCGGAATCAGAACACGCCGGTCAACCACCTTGGTGATTATTCTACAGACGTGCTGGCTGAGAAGGCATATGGCTTCCTCAACGACGCTGTGTCAGCAAACAAACCTTTTTTTCTCGGAATTGCCCCCATCGCCCCTCATAGCAACGTGAACAGCACGGTATTAAACCCAGTCAAGGGCCCGGATGATGATGTTCCTGTGTCAGACGACACCTTCCGAGTTTCAATTCCCAGAAGTGCCAAGCGACACGAGCATCTATTCCCCGATGCCAAAGTCCCCAGAACTGATAATTTCAACCCAGATGTTGAGTCGGGGGCGGACTGGATCCGCAGACAGCCCAAACTGACACAAGAAAATGTTGAGTACAATGACCGTCACTACCGTGGTCGTTTACAGGCTCTGCAGTCAGTGGATGAGCTTGTGGAAGGACTGGTAGAGAGGCTGGAGCAGCACGGTATTCTCGATAACACATACATCTTCTATACTACTGATAACGGCTATCATATCGGACAGCATCGCCTGCCCGCCGGGAAAGAATGCGGATATGAGACTGACATCAACGTCCCGTTGATCATCCGCGGACCTGGTGTTCCCAAAGGCAGAATTTCAGATTCGGTCACTGCTCATGTCGACTTGGCACCTACTTTCCTCTCGCTGACTGGCGCAAGCCTCAGAGCCGACTTTGATGGTACACCAATCCCTTTGTCGGAAAAGGAGATCGAGCTCGCTCCCTCAACACGTGAGCATGTCAACGTGGAGTACTGGGGCTGGGCTATTTCTGAGAGCAACTTTGGCTTCAATGGGGGAGACGACAAGAGAATATACAACAACACTTATAAAGCGCTGCGTGTCATAGGTGAGGACTACAACCTCTACTACTCTGTGTGGTGCACGAATGAGCATGAGCTCTACGAGATGAACGTAAGTTGAAGACTTCCTGGTCGAGTGAGGATGCCGATCCTTGCTAACGAAGTCTCAATAGTCCGACCCCGGCCAGCTCAAGAATTTACTTCACGGAGATGAGGCGCTCTTGGCGGCACAGACCACCGTTCTAGGTTATCCCTTAGAGAAGCTCATCCCCAGACTCGATGCCCTCCTCTTAGTTCTAAAGTCTTGCAAGGGGGCGACTTGCTCGCAGCCTTGGAGGTCATTGCACCCCCATGGCAACGTTGTCACCCTCCATGATGCTCTTTCCCCCAGATATGACGAGTTTTACGAACAACAAGTTCGCGTTGAATATTCATGGTGTGAC